GTGGAACGGAATTTGATTGAGTCTGCTCTAATCAGTCAGTGTCCAAATCTTCTTAATGTTAGTACTGGAATGTACAAACTTGATCCATTTTTAAGTTATAATATTGCACAACAGTTTAAGAAACAACTCTGATAGAGAGGCTTACAATGTCTCATTATAATTGTATATTCATATATTGTGTGTTCATGAGGCTTTTCTTTAATCTTTCATCCTTATTCTCTGACCGCTTAATCCTCTTTGACCATTTTAAGCTAAGCTATACCTGTTTTTGGTTAATTACACCTGACCACCCCTAGGGATGGGTTGGTCAGGTGTCGGCCTATATATCCTCCCCCTTCTCCCTTCTCCTTAGTCAGTCTGGTGTTGACAAAGGCTTTAACAAAGCCGAAACGTTCACCTCATTTCATATTTCTCTGTGGATTTTCCGCATATATATATATATATATATATATATATATATATATATATATATATATATATATATATATATATATATATATATATATATATATATATGCACTAACTTTGCCTAAACTTGCAAGTGAAGTTAAACAACTTTAGACACATACTCACCAGGAGACTCGAACCCTAGCCAGCACAGATGCTTCACAACACCTGGCATAGCTGGTACACCTTTAACCCACTACACCAAACTCAGATTCTTAAAAGGGATGGAAATTTTTGGGTATTTTAACCCCCTAAATAAACCAGCCCGTCCTCCAAAAATGGGGTGGTAAATGTAAGGAGACAAATAAGTGCAATTATGTACTATTCATAGCAGTTAGGAATTGTACTTATTTTCACTTAGTATTAAATCGTAGTCAAATATATTGTGAATATTTGAGTTTACCTGAAAAACTGAATAGAAAACCTCAACCTCACCTAACCGTCTTAGTTTTTGAAGATAATAATTGATACCCAGTTGACCCAGCAACTGGGTCAAAGCAGTTGACCCAGATGCTGACCCAGTTGCAGCATCTGGGTCAACTGCTTTGTTCCTACTTAGTTCCTTGAGCATTTTTACCCCACTTCGTCTCAAGACAGACACTACTATGTACTCTTGTTATTCCCTGAAATTCCTATTATCTGGTTCTCTGAAGACTTCATTTTGCACAAACACTCTTTGGAACTGTTTGTTTAGCGTTTTACACATTTAATTTTCATTCTCCATGAGTCTGTTCCCCATTTTCAACTTCTGAATTTTATTCTTTAACTGCATTTTACTGTTAATGAATTCATAGGAAAGACCTGGTTCTGTTTTACATTTGTCCCTTTCTCAAAATTTGTTTCATGTAGCCGTTTCATGCTTCTTTGTCTGGTACTGTATTTATTAGGGTTTGGCTCCTAACTATACTGATTCATTTTTTTGTCTTTTTGCTCTCCGGTCCCCTCCCAATTTATGTTGAACCAATCCTGCTTTCGATTTCTGCATCTTCTGTACTGGTATAAATTTAATTGTATCGTCATATATCTTAAAAATTTCATATATATATATATATATATATATATATATATATATATATATATATATATATATATATATATATAATATATATATATATGTATACATATATATATATGTATATGCGGAAAATCCACAGAGAAATATGAAATGAGGTGAACGTTTCGGCTTTGTTAAAGCCTCTTCTCCCTTCTCCCCCTTCTCCCTTCTCCTTAGTCAGTCTGGTGTTGACAAAGGCTTTAACAAAGCCGAAACGTTCACCTCATTTCATATTTCTCTGTGGATTTTCCGCATAAAATGATCAGTGTTTTGTGATCGTCAATTGCATATATGTATATATATATATATATATATGTATATATATATATATATATATGTATATATATATATGTATATATATATGTATATATATATATATATATATATATATATATATATATATATATATATATATATATATATATATATATATAATATATTATATATTATTTACTTCCTTTCCTAACAATAAATCTTTCCAATCAAATTTATTAAAGCACTTGCCAAGTTCCTAATGGTGTCCTCTCTTGAAATCTTTCCACCATTTTCTTTTCTCCAATTTCTTATAAATTATAATGCATTGCATATTTGATTTCTGGAAGAACATGCTTGCTCTTGTCTATTGGAGGAAGGTACAGAATGCCAAATATCGCTTCTTTCCTGGTGAATACCAAATCCAGCAATGATTGAGCATCACTTTCTCTCATTCTTGTGAGATGTTTTACATGTTGATACATAAAAGATTCCAGGATGAGGTTTATGATTCGGCTGGACCAAAAGGCCTCTGTCTTGCTTCATAGTCTTCCCTGTCTATCAAATTTATATTGAAGTCGCCAAGTACCAACAATGGTAATTTATCTATCTGCTTCTATAATAATTACTCCTATGATAATAATAAGGCCCCCTTTTGTTATCTAGCACCTCCTCAGTCCATATGTTGCTTGCTGATGGACTGTATGCAGTGTTTATCTGTGTATCATTCTGACTGCAAATCTCCAGTGCCATCATGTCTACTTCTCGAGGGTTGTCAAGTATTAATTATCTTGCCTTTAGAGAATCTCTTCCCTGTGTGGGTGGAGTTGTTGCAGTCGTGCCCTCACCACTATTGCAACACCTCCACCTTTTTTAAGTTTTCTGTCACATCTCCAAATAGCATAGTTCCTCAGGAATATCACACCATTTAATATTTGATCTTCTAGTTTTGTCTTCACTAGAGCGACAATATCAAGTATCTTAAGCTGTATTATATCATTTAACTCCAGTATTTCAAGGGGGGGGGGGGAGCCCCGTCGGCTCCCTGAAGCTATCATGCTGATCAAGTGCCACACTACTTGAGTGTCATCAGTTGCAGAGTTCTTTGTAAGCCTACCTGGGAGCACAAGCCAGAACCTGGCCCCCTCAATGAGGCACATGGAGCAATGGCCACGAGCACTTTACATTTAAAGTATGTCATCTTGCCACCGACAAGGGAAGGCACCCAGAAAGGTAGGCGAATCAAAACAAACCACTGCTTGGATGAAAAATGCAACCTACGTCCTTACATGCACAAAAAAACTCCCCGGAAAAACACTGCAGACAACTGGAAAGAGACAAGCCCTGGAACTGAAAACCAGGGAAACCAGATCAAACCAGATCTCGGCCACCGACACAGAACCGGAGACCCACCAGAAGCTGCGTAAAGCTGCCACCGGACTCAACCCGTAATACACCCCCGGCATTACCAACCAAGCAACCACAACCAACGGATCTCCCTGGAAACCCGCCACCTCTTTCTTCACTGGGAATCTTGGACTGTGTTTTTTTTCTCCCACCCGCGGCTTTGTGCCAGTTGCAGTCCCGCCTATGGCTGTTTTGTGGGGGTTCTTTATGTCACTTGGTGAGTGTTGGTGTAGCTGTGTGGGTCACTGTCGCTCTGGCTCCATGTTCCCATTTTCTTTGGTGTTTTGCGCTTGCTTAGTTGTGCGTGTTGTCAGGAATTTGCAGTACTGCAGCTGAATGCGCCTAGGGTTCCCTTCTCTAGGTGGTCCATAAGTACTGCCCTTGCAGAAGTCCCAGTTGGTCCCATGCCGGGTTCAGAATTGGCTGGGCATTGTTTCGGAATCTTGGACTGTGTTTTTTTTTCTTTGTGCTGCAGGCTAGGTTCTTTATGCTTGGCTTTGCCTTAAAGGCTTTGAAGGCTGTTCTGGAATCTTCGGGGCAGCCTCTTTCACTGCTCTCGAGATCACTGGGTTCAACCCTCTGTGTCCCTGGGCTGGTTTCTTCGTCAACGGCTTCCTCTTTGGGTTTCGGAGTTCGGTGTCATGGTGCCTTCCTCCTCCCTCGCTCAATGTGTTCACGAACGCCTCATCTGTCTGCTGGGGCTTTATGAACAGTTCTCACCTGTCTGTCTGGGGCGGGCGTTGGTAGCTGTTCTTGCGTCGTGTTCCCTGCACACTGCGGGTGTTGCGGCTGTGTGGATAGAACTACGGAGGATTCGGTTTCTTGGAGCTCAGTGATGCGGCTCCATTTGGACTGCTCCCTTAGTGGGCCAGCCAGAGGCTTAGGGCCCGTGCAAGAATATTCCTGCCAAAAAATAAAAAAAATGCACCAGCCAAACCCCCTGTTTATGAATGAAAACGGTTTACAGATGACTCGACCGATTTCGTTCAAACACTTCCAGAACAAGTGCTTCACTGACAAATTTTGTTTGAACCATAACACTGTAAATGCTTCACCTACTTACTACAAATAATCACCAACAGAGCCTAAACACCTAACCTAACCTATGCTTATATGTACACAATATGCTAATATCTTATAATATTAATTTATATTTGAGAAAATTTCCGTTTTGTAAACAGCATGTAAAAATTTATGAATGCGTCTGTGGGGTCAACCGCTGGATGTAATGGACTTGAGTCGAGGATGGGTTGGCTTCCCTGTGGTTCCTTGTCTCCACCGGGGAAGGGGGGGTCACTTCAGTCTGGGGCCCTTTGGAGCTGGTGGTCACTTCAGATCGTGGCCCTTTGGAGCTAGTCGCTTCAGCTGGCTCTCCTGCTCGAGTTCTCGGGGTTTGGCTTTTCGCGCGGTTCACTTTCAGGGAGTGTCTTATGTCTGTGAGGGTGGCCTGTTGTCCTCATTCCTCTTCCACGAAGTGGTCAGTCATCTCCGTTTTAGTTTCTTTGACTTTGCCAGATGTACGGGTGACTGGAGGTGAACCTCAACGCATTGGCATGGTCTTGGCATTTCCCATTATTTGCGGCGTCGTTCCCCGACTGCGAGGTTCTCGTTGTGGATACTTTTCGGCAGGACTGGTCGCAGTGGGAGTTCCTTACTTTCTTGCACTGCTGGCTCGTTGTCCAAACCCAGGTATTTTTCTGCGGCTCCGCCTCTTTCAGGTGGTCAGGCCAGTGTGGTGCCTCGCTGGTTCAACTTCCTCCTCGTGTTCCATGTCTGCCATTTCTGACACGTGTATCGCCATCGGTATAGTGATCTGGTCGTTTTTTCATTGTGTCCTACCTGCGGTTTTCATCTCAGCGACAGTATGCAGTTTCTTGGCGGTATTTCTGCCTTTTTCTCTCTCTTTGTCGGGTTTCGTTGGTATCAAACTGGGTTGTTTTGTCCTTTCTATCTCAGCTTTTCCTGGATCTGCATCTCATGCCGAATGCTGTCGCTTAGTGTCATGTGGTGCTGGCAGAGCTGCTACAACTTGCGTTCAGGGTTGATGTCCCTTCTGCTAGTTTTCACATGCATTTTCACCTGCTGTTCCTGCGCCGCCTGAGCCTTCTTGGTCTTTGAATCAGGGTCTTATTTTTTTCTTCTTCACATTGGTTTGTGATGGTCCCTTTGGTTCATGCTTGTTTTTGTTACATAGTTTTGTTCGTTTGCTACCGGCTCCTTCATTTTCCGGTGAAGGAAGAGGCAACGGGTTTCTGGGGAATACGTGGGGGGTGTATCACGTGTTGTCTGGTGGGGACTTATTCTGCTTCCGGCGGGTCTCCGGTTATGTGTCGATGGCCACGCTCTGAGATGATCTAGTTTCTCTGGTTTTTAGTTCTAGGGTTTGTGTGTTTCAGGTGGTCCATGGTGTCTTTCCATTTAGCCAGCCTGCAGTCTACCCTCGTGCCCATGTTGTTTGGAAGTGTGCTGCTCATTTGGCTGTCTTTGGACGGTTTTCGGGCTCGTGGGGGATGTTTGGGGGGCCTGAAAACAGTCCTACCCTCCAGGTCTCTCATGACCGTCCCGGGCACTCAGCTGCTTTGTGTTGTTTTGGGGTTTTTATAGGCGCCAGCTGTATTTGTTGGGTTGCATTCTGGGGCTGCTGCCTCACGGGTTCTTCCCTATGAGTAGTTTGCTTCAGGGAGCCGACAGAACTCCCCCAGAAAACCAGCGTTGAATATAAATAAATGCCAGTTTCAGGGTGAGCCCCAGAGGCTACCTGACTCCCCTCCCTCCCTCCAGTCGACGGTTTCCACCATTTAAAGAACTGTAGGGTGGCGGCCTGACCTGCCCAAGACCGGCTCCTCCTTCCTCCTTGGGGGGGGGGGGGTGTGGGGGAGAGCTAAAGAGTGGGGGACTAGTTGGACTAAGTTTTGCTTGTTTGTTTACTTTCTGCGGAAGATCGTTGGTGCTTGTGAGGACGTAGGCTGCATTTTTCAACCAGGCTGTGGTTTGTTTTGATTCACCTACCTTTCCGGGTGTTTTCTCTGGTCGATGGCAAAATAACATACTTTAAATGTAAAGTGTTCATGGCCATTGCTCCCTTTGCCACTTAGGGGGCCAGGTTCTGTCTCGTTGTCCCCAGTAGGCATACAAAAAACTCTGCGACTGATGACAATCCAGTAGTATTGCACTTGATCAGTAAGATAGCTTCAGGGAGCCGACGGGACTCCCCCCAGAATCTGGCGTTTCATTACATTTAATGCTAGTTATGTTGCTTCATATATATTGCCTTCCCTCTTGCCTGAACCTGGTGCACCCCAGACTGGAGTGGTCAGCAATGAAGACTCTCCTGGGAGACCCAACCATGACTAAGAAGCTCCTAGAGATTGAGAAGGACACCATCACAGACGCCACCCTCAGGAAAATCAAGAAATACACTGAGACTCCCAAATTTATTCCGGAAGAGGTACTGTATGCAGGACTTTTGGTTTAGTGATGGACTTGGCCTGTCAACAGTGTGAGGGTTAAAGCCGCTACAATAGCTAAATGACAAACCAGCAAATAAACTTCAGTTCTGAACATAGTGAAGGCTTAAAGTAAACTCGTTATACAATATATACACTGAGAAATGGTACACCTGTCACTGTACTTTTTTGTCATAACATCTTAATATGTTATAAGCAAACAGTCGCTACTGTGGTGTTTATGTAATAATTCAAATATACAGATACACACGCTGCCACTAGCTAACCTTAATGCTTTCTTAAGATTATTGTTAACAACATTTGTGGACGTGTGGCGCAGGTGGGGAAGGTGTCCAAACCTTGTCGGCCGCTGTGTGCCTGGCTCAAAGCTCTCGAACACTACGCTCAAGTCATTCGCAACGTTGAGCCCAAAAAAATGAGGTGTGTTTGATACGTTACATTCATTATTTTTGTAATAATTTCAAGTTATTAATTGAAACAACTGAATATACATTATGCAGATCAATGTGATATGCAGGTATTATAAGTGCATATTAAGTTGTTCATTATGGGTAGAGTTTTATAGCAAGTTTTCTGTGGTTTAGACTGACAGATTTGGAGCGCGACCTTAGTGGTATCCAACTAGAGCAGCGTCAACTGCAGCAGCAGCTGGGTCAGAATGAGCGAGAGTTGAGCGAGCTGCAGGCACGTTACGAGGGCTGTGTGTGTCGGCGGCAGCAGCTGGAAGGCAGTATGAAGCGAGCCACGGCCAGGCTCCAGCGCTGCACCAGGCTCACCACCGTCCTCGCTGATGAAGACACCAGGTGGTCAGCCAAGATTAAGGTTGGCATGTTTGCCTCCTGGCGAAATAAAGATGTATCTATGGAGGGATTTACGTCACACTTGCACGTTGGGTTGGAATGGCTGGGCGTGTCTGAGAGCGTGTAAGTTAGGGAGGAGGCTTTAATCAGACCGGGCTGTGAGAGCAGCGATACCAGGATATACCGCAAGGTTCTGATCTGAGCTGGTATCTGCATCTCTAGAATTGCTGCATCGGCTCTTAAAGTTGTTAAAAATAATTTTGCAAGGCTCTCCGAGTATCACACAACTAACTCGTGACAAACTCTGTAACAACCCTTCATGTAGTTCAGGGCTGTAACACTAATGTGGTTGTAACTATGTTATAAAGGTCAATGAAGGTATAATAGGTTGGAGTATGTTTTGTACTGCAGTCGTTAACCATGAGTGGCTGAGGAGTGTTGCATTAGATAGGAATGGATAGCTTTAGATTAGTTACAAAGACTGCCTGGCAAAAGAGTTAGTTCGGTGTCAGGAATTAACATTATCGATACTGGAGCAACAAACACCTTCAGGTTGAGATCACGTGTTGTTTCAGGTGTTGGTGAGGGAGGTGGAGAGCGTGTACGGGGAGTGTGCGGTCGGGGGCGTGGCGGTGGCCTACCTGGCCTGCCTCCCGCCTCCCCACAGGGACCGCCTCCTGCACCACGTCCTCGCCGCTCTCACCACCAACGGCATCATCACTCCCAAGAAATATGAGTATGACCTCAAGTTTTATGTTTAGCAGACAACTTATTATTA